CTTTATCTAGAGCTCTATAAATGCCCTTTGCCTCCCAGCTCTTTCCTCTATTTCCCTTGATTCTCCTCCTGTCCCGCTATCATGCTCAGTCCCCACCAGGATTTCAGCACTTCTTCTTTGTTACATTCCCCTTGATCCTGCCCTACCAGGCCAAGACTCCTATTCCAAGAAGTGCTCTAGACAGTATTCCACCAGTGGAGGGATCTAAGGGAACTGAGCTCTGGTCCACCTCAGTTCTGTATTCTCCTCAGAGGACATCCTGTCTCCCTCACCATCTCTCACGTGCAGTTATCCCCATTTTCCTCACCCATGAGCTTGTTCTGTGGCCTCTTGGAGATTCAGCTGAGCCACGAGAAGGTAGGAACTGTAGATCTGATTTGGTCACAGTAACTTGCAGGTTCTCCAGCAGGAGTTTCAGAGAGGCAAACTCTCTGGGGGACTGATGGGAAATCAGTCTTGGATGGAAAAGGAGTCAATTTCCAACGAGCTGCCCAGGTGTATGAGATGACTCTGTGGGAGAGGGCGAAGGGCACTGGGGTCAGAAGTCTGGCCTTTCCCATCAGACTGCCCTCCCTGGGTACACCTGCAAGAGGCCAAGTCCTTCTGGTCGTCAAGCCCTTTGGAGGCCAGTCCCATGCTAGCACCCTACTCTGGCCATCCTGACAGCGTGAGGTCTGGTCAGCAAGCAGGGGGCTAGCAGAGAGCCTGAGTGCCAAGCAACCCTCCCTCAATGGTGTAGAGCACTCCTCTTCCCCAGCAAGCCTGGATTACGTCCTTGTCTGTACCCTAGATCCTTCCCACTGCAAAGTAAACGCTCCAAAGGCAGACTGGAGCTTCTCCTCAGAGCCAACACACAGGATGCTCCCTGAAGACCCGGCACTGGGGGACACAGAGTCCACCCCTGCCCGCGCAGACCCTCACTTTGTGCACAAGCCAGCTATCTGATTCTCATCACACACCCTGAGGGTCTCTTCTCTCACTGAGGTGGTTTTCAAGTGATCCACATGCAGCTGAGCCTTGCCAACAGTTTAAGATTCAGAGATTTCTCCCCAGGCCTCCTGTTTGGGGCTCCAAAGAAGGGAAGAACCCATAAACCTGGAGAAAACTGTGGGAGCCTAGATTCTCTCCGTGGCTGCTCTGAGGTCCAGCAACCCCTTTGCTCCCCAGACTCTACCTCTGCTCTTTGTGACTACTTTACTCCTGCACGGGTCATGCCTAAAACATCCTTCCAGCCCTGGGGGACCCAGGTTTTACCAAGTACATACCCGACACAACCTCCGTCCTTCTGTGGACACAGGACCACCTTCTTTTCCACTCAGATTCCACTCACTCTTTCCGTACTTGCTGGGCTTCACCATCCCCTTCAGACTGCAGACCACTGCATTCCTATTTAAAGGAATCATAAGGGCACCAAATGAATACCACCTGCCTAAGAAAGCTGGTGTTTCTGCCTGACGGCTTCATTAGAATGGAAGGTAAGAGGGCTGGTTCCTGACTTCTTTTTCACCGATTGATGCTAAGTACCTACAATAGTGTCTGCAAGTGAAGGGGCGTCATAGCTACTTGTGATTCAATGAACCCATCTAGCACCTTCTCTGATATCTAGGGGTCCTGTGCCCCTGTGAGCCCTACGGATATTTGTTCTCCAGCAAAGATGAGACCCACTAGATGTCATCTTAACCTAACTTTACAAAAAAGAAAACATGTTTTCTCAAGAGCACCTAGTGAAGGGTGGAATAGGCAGTTCTTCATGAAGGGTTCATTATGTTCCCTCTCTGCTTTTGGAGGCCTGGTCTACAGATTCAGAAGCGAATGTATGGTGCAAGGGACGAGGGAGTGGGCGGGCTAGTCCATCAGGTTGGGTGCCCAGAGGGGCACAGGTGAAGACCGACTTCTAGGCAAGCTCAATGGTAATGTGGTGGGAAAAACCATCCATCTATGCACTCCTAATGTCCTGAAAGGTGGCACTAGTCTCTGCAATCCCTCCAGGAGTACAACAGGCTTTTGATTTACTATTCTTCTACGGAGAGCAGTTCTAGTGGCTCCCATTTGGATTTCCCTACCATAATAGTCCTTGTTCTGCATATCAGGGATCTAATATGGGGTTCTTCCTATTCTTAACTTTGCCTATTCCAATAATACATTCTGGCACTGGTGAAATAACTACAGGATGTTTTGGGGGATGCATTGGGCCCACTATGAGATAAACCTGAGGCAAGACTCTATTAATAACTTGATTCATTTAATGCGCTCTGACTGTTGGACTTGCACATTTGTTTGGGTCTCTCAGAATTAATTTCAATTCATAGCTAGTGTTCAGTAATCCCTGAAACGTCTGATTACTTCCTTTTCCTCAATGACTAGTCACTCTGGGGAAAGCTGAAGGAAACACAGTAAAGTCTGAAAGAATAGTAAAGTTTTGACAAATAGGCCCTTCCACAAAGGGACGCAGCTTCTCCTTTATCTTCATTCAAAGGGCTTTAGATCTCTAACTGTTCAAATCTGGGCATTGATTGGGTAGGGGTGGGGTGGCCATGATGATTATGGTGATTCAAGTCAGAGTGTCATTCACTTAACCTTGCATTTTTCCACTTGTTTAGGTCAAGTGAATATTTAGTAGATTTTCCATCTATTTCACTCTTTTGGCTACTCTGCCTCAGTAGTTAATGCCATAAATCCATACAAGTCAGATTATTTTGATTACTATTTTGATTCTGCTGTTATGGTAATCTTATCTACCTTGTCTCTGTTGATTAAATGCTGCCACTTAGCCCCTCCTACCACAAGACCCAGTATCTCTCATTGTAGTCAGGTATCTTGATTCAAATACAGTAGTTCTCAAATCTGACATATAAAATAGCAATCACAGCAGTCTTCACAGATGCCAGGGTTCCCTCCCACATTTTGGTAAAAGGTATGTCCTCTGGACAGTCCATATATAGGCCTATGGACCTATCCTGGTAAATTCATACTGACATGACAATGTCATGCTAACATTGCTAATATGCCTTTGGATACCTCCTTGTAATATGAATGCGTACCAACATGCCAATAATATGTTAACATAGTAACATGCCTTTGAGTACCTTCTTCTATAGCTTACATGGGTAGGTGTGGTACTTTGACTTGAGTTATTGTAAGCCATAATTTATGCTTCAGCAAGCAAATAAAGTATGATGTCTTCTCCTAACCTCTCAAGATGAAATATTGAATGAAGAATCTGTGCTGGGTGGGCACATATCAACAAACTCAGACTGATCCAACCTGCAGTATATACTCGTGTATAAGCCTAGGTTTTTCAACATATTTTTTTTAAATGCACTTTTTGTGGTAAAATTAGGTGCCTCAGCTGATATTCAGGTCGGCTTATACTTGAGTATCCCCCACGTTTCTGTTGTACATTTTAGAAATCTCTGGCAGTTTGTAAGGAGTGCATTGTACCTCATCTTGGGTAATCATGTAAATTCTTTCGATTTTGGAGGGGAAGACTTAAGTCTCTAGTTATAGATCTAGAAGCAATAATGAGTGGTATTGGTGTATTCTGGGAAAACTCAGCAATGTCTTAATATGCATCTGCTTCAGGTAATGATTCAGACAAAGCCCCAGATGCCTTATCAGCATACATAGTTGGGTTAATTTATTTGAATGTAGGTGTAGAGAATGATGGTTTAACTGCTAATAGATTAGCATATAAAAGTTGTGTAATTTCTTTAGAGGGGTGGAGTCGTATTGTTGGGGGAAGTGATTCAATGGAATTGAGGGGCTCAGTGTTTCCATCTTTCTGATTGTATGCCTAGATGTGCCCATCCCAATTTACAGTACCTCATTTCTTCCTCAAAAATGGGAAAACACTTTCCAATCAGACACCATTCAAGAATGAAATGCAATTTTCATTGTCATCCAGCCATTCTCATTCTAAGATTATGGTTTGCATTTTGACAATAAGAGTAAGGCTTTCTTTAAAGGCACAAATGACTGAAGCCCATCTTTTTTTTTATCGTTTTATTAGGGGCTCATACAACTCATCACAATCCGTACATACATCAATTGTGTAAAGCACATTTATGCATTCATTACCCTCATCATGCTCAAAGCATTTGCTCTCCACTTAAGCCCCTGGCATCAGGTCCTCATTTCCTCCCCTCCCTCATGAACCCTTAATTTATAAATTATTTTGACATATCTTTCTCTGTCGCCCTTCCCACAAGGAGGAGGTCACATGTAGATCCCTGTAATCTACAAGGATTCCCCTTTCCAGCCCACCCTCCTTCTACCCTCCCAGTATTGCCACACACACCACTTGTCCTGAAGGGATCATCCGCCCTGTGTTTCCAGTTCCTATCTGTACCAGTGTACATTCTCTGGTCTAGTCAGACTTGCAAGGTCGAATTTGGATCATGATAGTGCGATGGGGAGGAAGCATTTAGGAACTAGAGGAAAGTTGTATTTCTCATCGTTGCTACAATGCCCCCTGACCGGCTTATCTCCTCCCCGAGACATTTCTGCAAGGGGATCTCCAGTGGCCTTCTAATGGGCTTTGGGTGTCCACTCAGCACTCCCCCCTTCATTCACTATGGTAAGATTTTTTTGTTCTGATGATGCCTCATACCTGATCCCTTCGACACCTCGTGATCACATAGGCTGGTGTGCTTCTTCCATGTGTGCTTTGTTGCTTCTGAGCTTGATGGCCACTTGTTTACCTTCAAGTTTGTAAGACCCCAGACGCTATATCTTTTGATAGCCAGGCACCATCAGCTTTCTTCACCACATTTGCTTATTCACCCGCTTTGTCTTCAGCGGTTGTGTTGGGAAGGTGAGCATCATAGAATGCCAATTTACTAGAAGAAAGTATTCTTCCATTGAGGGAGTACCTGAGTGGAGGCCCAATGTCCTTCTGCTACCTTAATACTAAACCTATAAATATAGGCACATAGATCTATTTCCCCATCCTCATGTATAAATATATTTGCATATGTACATGTCTTTATCTAGACCTCTATTTCCCTTGACTTTCCTCCTGTCCCACTATCATGCTGAGTCCCCACCAGTGTTTCAGCAATTCCTCTTTGTTACATTACCCTTGATCATGCCCTACCAGGCCTCCTACATCCACCTAACCACCAATTTGAATCACTTGTTGCTCCCTTAGCCCTGGGTTTATTAACACCACTTCCTTTCTCCCCACCCCCCAAGATTCCATGTCCCCCGTAACTGTGGGTCCCGTTGTTTTCTCCTCCAGATTGTTCATCCAGCCTCTTATTTAGACAGACCTGCGGAGATAATAACATGCACAAAACAAGACAGAGCAAAACCAAGCAACAATATACAAAAAAACAACGACAAACCACTGACAAACAAAACAAGAAAGAAAAGCTTGTAGTTAGTTCAAGGATCATTTGTTGGCCTTTAGGAGTGTTGTCCAGTCTGCTGAGGCATCACGCCCTGGCCCCAAAGTCCACCTTCGGCATTCCCTGCGGACCTTGCTGCTCCATTCCCTTGCTGTTCTGCTGCACTCCCCCAGTGTTTTGCCTCGGCGTGGCGGGATCAGATCGGGTGCAGTTCCCACACTGTGTCTTTGGTGCTGTCCCCCACAGGGCCATGGGTCAGTGAGGGGCATCATGTGTCATAGTGGTTCTGGCCATGTGGTCCTCTCTGTGGACTGGCTGCTCTAATTGGGGTCATCGTCCTCAAGGCCTGGTGGGCCAGGATGTGCTCCACTCTCTCCTCCTCCAGCTTCATCTGCTCTGATCAGACAGGTCCCTCTCTGTGAGCTGCGGATTCAGTGCCGTCCTTTGAAATAAGTTCCTCTGGGGGGAGGGGCAGGCGTCCACTTAGTATTTGGTACTGGGGTCAGTCCCCCAGATCTCTCCACTGGTTCCATTCTCCATGTTGTTCAACACTGTGTTGAAAGGAGGGCTTTCGCCAGCCTCGGGCTAGCTACACAGGGGGCAGCGCAGGCGTAAATGCGCTAGACTAAGGGGAATAGTCTGGAGGCCAGCAGTGGAGTGTGAGAACACAGAGAAGAGACCAAGAGGAGAAAAAAATTAAAAAGTAAGACCGTTTAGACTGTGTGTGAACATGGGGAAGAGAAGGAAACAAAAGCAACTATGTAGCTGAGTCCCACTCAGCACCGGTGGAGCTTCAAGGGTTTAATCCCTGCCCTGAGCAGGAGCAGCTGAGCCAAGAAAAAGCCCCCGCGCAGCCCTCAAAGACCATGGGGGGAACAGAGAGCAGAGATGTAAACAAAAGCAACAATGCAGCTGAACCCTACCCCTGGAGCTGCAAGGGTCCAGTCCCTGCTCTGAGGCAGGCCTGGGCAAACTGTGGCTGTGTTGAGACCAAACCCCCCTAACGGGCTCCAAATGGTCCCGG